ATTAAGTTCAACAAACCTAACCACGTGATGGTAAAAAATTATGTGTAACTCATTATTAGGCGGGCCAACCCGAATTCAATCTAAAAAAAAACATAGCTTAAATTGAAGTTTTTAATATTTAGGTTGAAACTTGACTGAAAAACATTAACCCGAATTGAATTCGAACAATACTCGCGCTACCGGTTTCAGTCCGAGTATATAAATCTAGATCAACTCGAATATTAAATCAAGCTCAACCCAATATTAAATTGAGGTCAACTCGAACATATTTAAAAATAAATATATAATCAATAGATTCAATAGCATATCTTACGACTAGAGTTCACACTTCACTGTAACGACAACCTGAATTTTAATCCGAAATTCGCCTAAATTAAGTAAATCGAATTCAACTTGGATAATACTCGGGATGAGGTCGGGTTAAAGCTAGGGTTAGAATTGAAGATTATATCCCTACAATTGGACTAGAGTTGACCCTCTCAACCCGCCCGAGTTGCACCCCAGAGAGAGAGAGAGAGAGAGAGAGAGAGAGAGAGAGAGAGAGAGAGAGAGAGAGAGAGAGAGAGAGAGAGAGAGAGCGCTTACATATTCGGGTAAGCATATTATAAAACATGGTTTGAACATCCTCACTTATTCATTACATTGGAGATATATCAAACCCAGCTACAGGAAAACACCCCAGCAACCATTTCAGAAATATAAACAAAAAAGAATGAGAGGACTTAAATGGGTTTATGCTTTTCGTGTGTAAGGGTATATACACATCAACACCTGTGTCTTTTACTCCGGTTATATTCCGTTATACCAATGTCTCTACTGAGGTCTATGCCCATTCAACTCACCATGTTGTTGCTGCTTGGCCTCACCGCTTGAATTATCATCCTATTTCCAGAACAGATAAAAACCATGTCAGGTTACATAAATGGTCAGCCGTGTATGTAAAAAGTGGTCTTTGATGCATAGAACATCCTAAATATACTCTTAAAAACAAAACAGAATCATATCAGCTAAGTTAACATGTTGGGACTGGCTACATCATTTCCCTTTCTCGCATCACGCAAAACAATTTTTTTTATTAAGCTCTGCTCACAGGAAGAAAAAAAAAAAAAACAATGACGCAATACTCAACTCCTAGAAGTAAGAAACTCAACCTAGAGTCACATGTCCTAAAAGAAATGGGTGTTAAAGAGAACAATAAACATACATCGTGTAGCAGCCTCTCTTGTAAAAATTAGTAAATTCAAAGAACTAGCTGGCTTAGTTGGTAAAGTCCCTGGATACTCGATGCTAAAGCCACCTTCTTCAGGGTTCGAGTTATATGGGTATGAGGGAGGCTACTTCTGGTTGTTGAAGTGTACTATCATCTTTGGACCAAAAAGTAAAAAGCAACATATAAAAGAAACCATATAAAGGAATGTGAACGTACACTGATGATGGAAAAGAAACGAAACCACACGCACAGATAGAAGTGGTGGGGGGTGGGAAAGGCAAGGAAAATTAAAAGCAAAAGTTAAATAAAATGAAAAAACAAATTCGATCAGTAGCTGAAATCTTCAGAACATTTATTCACAATACTCGTACCCCCTTCCCAAGAAGGGGCCTCAAAGGCTTACACACACCATAACAACCTCCAAAATGGAAATTCAAATATATAGATGGACTTAAAATACTTACTTCTATAGTCGGGTCAATTTGGAACAAATTTATGCTTCTGGGATAAAAACTGAGACCACTGCAGAAAGGGCAAGTGAGAAGATGAATACATCAGTGTATTGGCTGGAAGTAAATTCTATCTGAAGTAAAGACTAATTGAAAGAGCAAAATTTTTGTATAAGCAGATACCATACGGTAAGTCACTGAAGTGAATGACAGGGCCTGATGATCATAAGAAATTTGAACAAGGGCTAATCAATAAGCCATTAAGTTTATAATCTTCCAAAGTGCACCATTCCAGAATGAATGGACATTTTATAAAATCATAAGTAGCAATAGAAGGAAATTCCGGCGACATGGTAGGACATCTTAGGTGTTTAAATTTGGTAGGAAACATATGTGCCCAATTTTAAAGGTACAATCAATATGCCTACTCTCCTTTTATAAAATTTCAAAGATAGAATTTGTCTAAGAAGGGAAATATACCAGCGAGTTACAACTAGCTGCCACACATACGGAATGAAAAACTCCTCAGGGTGACTCTCTTGTTCATATGTAAAGTGTAGTTGAGTGACTATCTGTCAAAAAAAAATCCTCATTTATAAAATAAACAGAAATACTTATGGAGAAATTCTCAATAATGGATAAGACCAGTAGTACTTTTTTATACCTTCATCCCTTCACCTCTCCAAGATCGGCAATTAATATTTATGATTTGGAGTACTTTCTCCGCTGACCATTCACCATCTGTATTATGGGCATCCATGCGGCTATTGAAAAAATGTAAGACCTATAAAAAAAAAGCAATATATCTAAAAACTCAATTGCAGTCCAAACAAAAAATAATGCAAACATTGAGAAATACTGTGGGCAGTTTAGCAACTCTCAACTAACCTAGTTTTTTAATTCCAAAATTTGCAAAGACTAAAAGAAGGTTTAATATCAAAAACTGGTTCACACAGCTTCATAGGCATGTGCACATGAAAAGAAAAAATGGGTGGCCTAGTGCACGGGAATCCAACCACTGCAGGGTCTGAGGAGAGGCACATGCACATCATCTACAAAAATAATAGCTCAGGAACATACATTAAATATGTTTTCAAGCAGCTCAACAAAGCGTGGATGGTTCTTGAAAGGCTGAAAGACGTCCTGCCTGTGCATAATTGCATAAACTACCTGCTCCGGTGCAGACAGTAGTACATAAACCATGAGAAAAAAGAAAGGGTGTAATACATCAGTAGTTACAGTAAATAAAGTAATATTTTGTGGGGATCAGTAGAGAACTAAAGCGTGATACCTCAGGATTCCTCGGCAAGGCATATGTTAGAATTGCATTCAAGATTTCCAGAACTATTCTCAGGAAGTCAGTATAAATATGCAATTCCGTTGACTGCAACAATGAAATTGCGTTTAGAAGTTCAATAGTCATGCACCAGTGATAGCCAGATAGTGTAAAAGTGCAACTATAAGGAAAAAAAAAAACCCTATTACCATATCTCCTGAAAGGCTGTCATCTTCTCTCAATTCACTGTTGCCTATATGCATCTTATTATTTTTCTGATCTGCTAATCTGTTGTACCTGGAATTTAAATTGAATTGAAAACAGCATATAAGAGACCAAACTGAAATCCCAAGAAAGTATAGCCGCCAAAAGTTGTCAGGTATTCAACATCTAATCGAAGTATACTGAGGTTGAAGAACAACAGACAGGGAAAGCAAGTGACATACTTGCGGGAGAGCATATCGAAAAGGCTAACCAATCTCTGTGATGCATATGCACTTAGACGGTGGAAATGAGGTGCCATGTTCGTCAAAATTGCAAGACAATTTGTATGGAGATAAACATCCTGTTCCAATTCAGCATTTTTAAAAATATATTAGGAATGGTTGGTCAAACCTATTGGAATTTTCCAATTAATATATTCATTACCGAAAATGGCCACAAATATATTGCAATATTTATGAATATATAAATTACATGAAGGTTAACATCACAAAAGTAAATAGTTAATGCCAATGCCTAAGGACATACTAGGATTTTACAAAGCTGTCAATATTAAAAGCTCTTAACTCATAAATATGCTAAGTAGTAGGTCTACATGACATGAACTAATTCCTCTCGCTATTGGTTAGGTAAATTTTGTAATGCAGGCATGCAGGAGATACAGGGGATTTACGAGAAAGACCTGCCTAAGTGCTTACGAATGAACCAGGTTACCTACCTCACATAACAAATGCAAATCCTCACTACTTAGCCGAAGGCTATCCTACGTTCATTGTTCTAACCTTTCTAAATCACAGTGTTTAATCAGTATGAGAGAAACATAATGAAGCCCCTTTTGTTTCTCGTTCACCATTTAATTTTTTTATTTTTTGTAAACGAAGCACCGTCCCAAACACATGCCATTGATTAACAAAGAAATGTGCAATTTCATGTCAATCCAAATAGGTCATTACCCAGTCCGGTCCTCAGTTGGGTCCTCTTTAAGTGAGGATGTTGGGAGGGCTGAATTGTGTATAGATCTAACCTTAGGCAGAAAATATCTTCTCCGCTTGGTGAGTTAGCTAGAGGTAGAGAGCCACTCTCTTCCCTCTGCTTACAGTTGAATGAAGTTGTAGATCTCAACACTTAGCTTATTTTCATAGAGTGGTTGCCCTTCGAATTGAACCACAACCTCGTGGTTATCAAAACGACATAAAATAATTTGCTAGAAACATGGAAATTTTTGCAGTAATACGGTCGGTCTCACAGCATTTTGAATTCTGTATACACTGGAAAGTTAAATTTAGTTGTAGGCTGTCGTATGCCACATTTCATGAAAGTAATATGCTGAGACTTATTAACCAATTTGACATGGTAAACCAGATAAATTTCCTTCCCCTACATGATGCCTCTTAGATCTCTTCACTTGTGTCAAAAGGATACACAGATTTACTAAAATCTAACAAAATATAAATATTTTTAACTGGCATCAACAAGCATATTTATAGTGTTTGCTGAAAATGAACACTGGCAAAATTAGACCACCTGCATTCATGATGAAAGATTTAGATGCCATATGTCACATCATATAAACCACTTTTCAACTGAAACAAGGTATCAATCACATCAAGCATAAGAGAGCTTCTAATAAATTTCAACATGAGAGTTACGTTGAAAGGGATACTTCAAGCCATACCTGCAGCTTAGACAGGTTGTACTTCACAGTACTTATTAGAATTACAACCATGAGGGAACCAAGAGATACTTGATGAAGGCGGCGCTCTTGGTACCATGGGACGTTGGGGAGCATCTGTTCAAATAAATCTCCAGTAAATATGATCATTTGAAGGTAAATAAAACCATACAAAGGCAATCCTTACCAGCTTGTGAATGCTGGCATTGAAAGAGGAATCCTGACTTAGTATAAGAAGTAAAATCAACACCATATAGATTTGATTGGATGTCTTTCTCGAGGCATTGTATAGCATTTCCAGCATGGGCATCAACTGCTTGTATCATTGCAGAAACACAAATCAAATTAATGGCTTCGCAGTTGAGTCACATTAGTAGCAACCAATGTGCTTGATCATACAATAGGAAAATATTTGAAAAAAGTTAAATGTTAGATGATCTTTCCTTTTTTTTCTTCCTAATAATAGAGATTTTAGATGATCTCAATTCTAATGCATACTAAGTTGCATATGAATCACAACTACATTCAAATATTATACCTCTGCAGTTTTTGTATTCACAAGTTTGGCTTCCCTTAAGCAACAAAAGAATATTAACTCAAGTAGTAAATGCTCAGAAACAGCATTCCATGATCCACGGTAGGATTTAGAACTAAAACACTTCATGTTCTACTGATCTCCAGATAAGGAGATTTTTTACATGAAAATCTTTTGCGAAAGTTATATGATGAACGACCACGCTTGTTTTGATTTTCTCTTTAAACTTTTTCCCTATGCCCTCCCCCCCCCCCCCCCTCTCTTGCGGGAGGTGACCATAACTAAGAGCCGAAGATGTGCTTCATACCAATGTATCCAGATCAGTTCGCACCAAAACGTATTCCAGAAAGTCTGAGTTCCCATGCAGCAATGAGTAAAGCAGAAGGACGGCAGTGTCATCAGCCAAGTGTCTGAGGAGACAGAACCAGATAGATTATTATACAGGAAACAAAGCATATGGATAAATACAATTTGATGAATATGGTGGTGGTGGTCTTGATGGTTTCTGCACTTTCAATTTCTGTTGCAACATAAGGTTATAGAAGTCACCTATTAACCTCCGGAAGCATTCACATACTGACTGTTTGGTTGAGAAACAAACAAGAAACTCATTATGAGTCAAGAGAAGAACCAATATCGCATAGGCGTTGTAAAGGGGATATGAGTACATATAAGCAAGTTTATATATCATTCTGTGTAAAAAGTTTCTTCGTAATTATGCATGTTGATGTTGTAGAAGTCAATGAAAAGCAAGTGAGCAACCATTATCGGGTGGCAACCCCGTGCACCATTATCATGGGTGAATCAATTGGATGGAAAGCTCTAATGATAAGAAAGTAAAAATTTCCAAACAGAAAGCATATTTTAGGTTATTTAACTAGAAGAAGATTTGGTCGATACACTTTTGAATATCAAACTTCTTTCTATGAATGCAATTTCCCACTCCTACGATAGAAGAGACACTCACATGCCAATAGTATCAAAGAGAGAAGCAAAAGGGAGTCTCACAAGTGGACCACCGTGCGCATTCCCCTCAATGTCAACACGATCAACTGCAAACAGTAGACTTAGAGAGTTAGCACCATAGAACATGTCATAGCAATTGCAAAGTTACAGGATAAAGAATCTCACATTCAACATTCCGAACACTCTCTAAGGCCTTGCAATAAGGGTTTGTGGAAAACAAAGTTTCTTCTTTCAGGAGAGAATCTGAACTGGCGATGTCATCAATTTTGTCTTTCACGGATTCCACCACAACACATTTCCGGTAGTGAATGAGTATAAGTAAAATATTAAGACTGCTGTCTGCCAATGGACTTATTGAAGCTTCACCACTTGAATTGACAAAGAAATTAATGGGCGATAGCACAAAGCTTGCTGCATGTCAAACAAACAAAGTAGAAGCTTCTATTTGAAAATTAAGACAAATGAAAGCAAAAATGTGGTATTAAAGCCTGGTATAAAAATATGAGGATATTTCTAAATACTAGAAATTTAGAATGCCATGAGCAAAAAATAAACGACGACAACAAGAGCATGGAATGTAGCTGCAAACTAATGGTTTAGGTTAATAAAGCTTTATTGAAAAGAAAATAAGTCACTTGTTTTGGATCAGCAAAAAGAAAGTCATTCAAGCTCTCTATTTCAATGAGCAGATTGCCACAAAAATGAAAGAATCAGAATTTTAACTGTTTTGATAACTTGGTAGGCTTTTCAGTCAATTGAAATGTCTCAGCAGGGAAAGTATAAACTTAAAAGAAAAAAGTCAAAATTATGGTAAAAAGATAAGCACTAATAACATCTCCATACCAGCTGCAGAACCCACCCTCTGCAGAACACCAGCCTGGTTTCCTTCAGAAAAGATGTTATAAGCTTCCCTTAATACCGAAAAATGGGGTTGTGTAATGAAACTAACAAGCAGTTTCCGAACAACCAAACCAGCCAAAGAACTTTCCTGCAAATAAACCAGCAATTTAATATACCAATTATAATACTTGAAGCTGTGCAGGTCTAAATCCGAGGAAAAAGGGAAATTCCTTTTTGTCACCTGAGCCATTGCTGCATCAATGAAAGGGTGAACATCGTCTGGTCCGAGTGATGGCCCAGAGAGAAGCTGAGTAGACATGGCGATGAGCATGAAGTTCAGCAGTTCGTGGTGTAAAAGATATGTGTCGAGACTTACAAAAAGAAATGACATAAAATTAGGAAAACACTATATATATGAAGCTCAGCATCAACAAACATGTTTAACAATCCATAACATACCTTACGTCTACTTTGCCAATGAAGCTCAGCACACTATGCATAACAAGATTTTCTACATTTTGATCTGCTTTTAAGATGGGAACAAGCCCGAAGTTATTGGATGGAAACATGATCATTAAACCCCCGTATTGACAATTAGAAAATTCAAAATGAACTGGCAAACTAAATATTACAAAATGTACAAGGTCCGCTAAAAATATAATTCCAAATTTTACAAAAGACAAGAAAACCTAAAACAGTCGACAGTACCCAGAACAGGCCCAAAACCTTCTATTCAATGCCCTATCAACCACAAGTCAATCCTTCTGAGACACACTGAATTCCAGATTAACAGCAGAAAACTACGGACTTAGTATCCAGGATTTCCAGCGAGATTCTTTATTTTATGCGGCCAAACATCTTGAGAACCATAGTCAAACTCTGCCCTTTTCTTCCTTGAAGTCTTCAACATTCCTTATACCACAATAAAACCTAAGCCTAAAATCTTTTCACAAACCAAAATCACGATGAAATAAAGTTTAAGGCGCACAATTTAGGTTATTTTAGGTTTCCTAACATCATCCTACATCACTAAAGAATTTTCCCAATATTCTAGTCTAAAAGTATGGCTTTATATAAAATCTTGTAGCCCCCATGAAATCACGTATCATTCTCTTCGTAAATATCTAGGGCTATATATTGGGTCAGTTGACCTGTGGAGGCAACTGCAGTACAAAGACAATTTCAAGGAGAAGCAAACCATGTGTCAATTTTGATTGAGGACCATTTTTAAAGCAGCTGATGACAGCATAAGCATCTAAGTCAATCTAGATAAACCATCGAGCTATCACCACTCACCACCATTTTCCAAATCTCATTTCAGGCAGGCTCACTGGTATAACAAAGTAAATTAAGAATTGCAAACCACTTCAAAAAGTTCCAGATGACAGCTAAATTGTTTGGCGTAATTGAGGAAAAATCACTAGTAAAAAATGAGAAAGTCCTCATGGAAAATAAGAACACAGAAATATGACATGCAAGAGAATCACCTCCTGAGAAATTATTCGGTATTGCCTCACTCTCATTTAGGGACAAGTACAACTCGTCAACTGGGTCGCTTTTCGTATTTTCAATTAAATATTTCAGGAACACAGATGAGACGTACAATGCATTAAGAGCCTTCTTTAAAGCTGAGGATGGCGCACCAGATGCAGAAACACACTCTTGCAAGCACCATGCCAAGTGGATTAAAACCTTAGCAAGGTGCCTTGTGTAACAATTGGTCTGTGCTGCACAAGACAATATCAACAGATTATGGAAAACATAAAACAGATGATTACATGCTAACAAGAATATCATGCCCAAGAAAGGGTTAAAAAAGGGGAAGAACAAACCCTTTTTTTATTTTGCCTAATGTTTAGCAACTAAAAAGCATGGACACACATAAGAAGATAACGTGTCATGTCTGACATCAACACTTCTTGGAGATCATCGATCTCCTTTTCGTCATGCCTTAGCATGTGACATCATCACCTAGAATTCCATGAATCATTTTTCTTAATACTATTCCCGAGGTACCTGCCATATTTCATTTTTGGTCAATAATGGCACTACACTTCTACCTTATAAAGCTGTGTAAAAAGTCAATGAGGGCAACCAGTTTTCCATAATACATCCAACCACACCAGCTGCATTTTTTGAGAGTTGATATTTAGTTAATTATTTAAAGAGATGACCTAAACAGAAGGGGGTACAGAGTATGCGCTTGACTGATAAAATAGAACACCAACTGACATAGTTCTTAAATATCAAACACTATTCATGGATAATAACATAGATTCAATTGGCATTGACATAATAGGAATATTTTGCAGGATGGAATCCGGGAGAGGTTGCAAGAATTTCACTGAGATTTTGGGAGGCATTTACAGCAAGAAACATGGCAGCTAGCACGAGAATTGTGGAGTCATTGGAGGTTCTTAAAGTTGTAGAAAACATTATGTTTGATACCATGATTTTCAATTTTTCATTAGAAGAAAGCAATCAGTGGTTGAACAAGTGCCATGCGAAATATAGATGACCTAGCACGTTTTCTGGTCGAACTTTCGCAAGTATTTCAAACCACTTTATAGATGCCAAAATGAGTTACCAAATAATTGAAATTATGATAAACATGATACAATACATATGAATTGGTATCACCAGAAAGTTTGTAGCCTCATAGGCTATAACATACAGTACTCCTTTTCTAAGCATAGTTTCATCGTTCATCATTTTTTTACTAAAAGTTAGAAAATTTAAAAAAAAATGGTGAGTCACTGCCTGCCAAGCAACCTGGCGCTGGACCCATCAACTTGTCGAATCAAAACACATGAGAAACTCCATGCACCTAAGCTCATACTCCAAGTTCAATTCCAAGGCGAAGATCTCATTCCACCAAACACGGCCTTAAAATTTGTGTGATAATTCAGTGCAAAGTGCAGACCATCTATATCCTCATCGATTTTGAGTTCATGACTTCAGAACTGACTGTAACTCACAAGATTGTAAGCCTAGACACTAAAACCGCCAATTAATGAGGTTACTTATAAACTCGAGAACAGCCATAGCAACAGAACAGGCGGGTTTTAGTGAAAATTTCACAATGCAATTACAAGAACATTCACAAATAAATGAAAAATCGTGATATTACAACTAACAACACAAACCATTTAACCGTAATAAATTACCATAAATTGGAAAAACGATAATATATTCAAAATGAACTGACCAAACTGTTCGCAAGCTTGGCGAACACGCTGAGAGGGCCAATGGGCATCAAAAGGAAGCTCGAGCAGTTTCTGCCAGTAATCGGAGCCAAGAGGGAACGATTTCTCTCCTATGAACGTTCCGATTAGGTACTCCGCCGTGTCCTGCTGCGGCGTCGCACCACTCCAGAGCGGCGTTGAAGACACGGCTCCCATTGACAAATCTCTCTCCCTCTCCCTCTCCCTCTCCCTCTCTCTCTACTCTTCGCTCTCTCGGTCTCTGCAATCAACACGTTCCAGCAATCGCAATGCCATTGCAATTGAAAAGACGAGCGGAAATTAAAGTTGTGGCTCTCTGGAGTTTTGGAGAGAGTTTGACAGAGTCATTGTCGGTCCAATGCGAGAATTAAGTCGTGAGAGAGAGAGAGAGAGAGAGCTTGGAAACGAAGGTTTTGAAGAGACTTTAGCGTTTGGAGAGAGACGGGTGAGGTAGACGTGATGGAAGAGCACTTTCCCTCAGCATCAGCATATTTTTGGGTTTAAGGATGTTGATGATGTGTCATTAACTACAAAAGAAAATGGCTGAATCACACTTTGTACCTCAAAAAATTATAAATTTTGTAATTTATACCTTTAATAATTAATTTTTTTACATTATACCCTTTGATACCATTAATTTCCATATTATGATTCTCACACTAACTTTTGTTACACATTCCGTCAAATTGGCTATGTGGCCCTCATATTCAATGCAGTGAGATTTGATAAAAATACAATAAAAGTTAGTATAAAGATTACATTTCTGTAAAGATTACATTTCAAATGTAATGTAAAAAAATTAATTATTGAGGGTGAACATTGAAAATTTTAAAATATTTTGGGCTGTGAAGTATAATTCTCCGAAAGGAAATTACATATTTCACTAAGTTGACAAAATTGCCCTTCCAACACAAATCAAGAAATGGGAAACTCTACCGTACCAAAAAAATAATTTCAGTACCAGCTGGTTCCATTTTTCATGGTAAAATTATAATTTTAAAATAAAAAATTATAATTGTTCGAGAGAAAATTATGATCGATCACCTAGATCTATAATTGATCATGAAAATATCGATATTAATCTTGATTATTTAAAATTGTAACTTATATCTTAAAAAATTTATAATTCATCTTTAAAAATTTATAATTTTCAGTACTAGTGCTGCCAATAGTGCCGTAGAGTTTCTTATCAAGAATTGACCCCTTTTTTTTCGTTTTTTCTCAAATGCCACAATTAAATTGCAATATTAGAGAATAAATTTAGGACAAGAGTTTGAAAGCTACCAATACAATCAATTAATGATGAAAATAATGGTTTGTATGATTTTTCTATCGACACGACCCACAAAGATAATATGTGGATGCTCTAAATATAGAAATCATCGCAACGTTATCACACAACAATACATTGATGAAAAATTTTAATATAAATATAATGACAATTTTCTTTGAAGTTTGTCCAATCAAGAAAAGCCAAGAATAAGTTAAATGATTTAGAAACCCATATAATTAATGCCATAAATAAGGAAAAATGGACTAAAATCCATAAAATTTAAAAACTCAAACGTTCTAAATTTAAATCTTCACAATTTCTTGGAATCAGGTCATAAGAAATTTATCCATCATGAATATTTTGGTCCTGACATGATGATTTACCTTTGACCAAATTGAAAAAATAATTAATCGAGAGATATATGTAAACTGACCTGCACATTATTAATCGTTGAGCAAAAAAAATTATACCAACACGTCATTTTGTGTGACACACTTCAAATTTATCTACTTCCTATGCATTAATTATCAATTATTTCGAACATAAGGGGTATTTTAGTCTTTACATGTTTATATTGGTGTAGTTCCGCTATTAATTACGTGTTTGCTGTTATTCGCAGCTGGATTTATTTTTCGTCGGCTAGTATTCCACGTGGCAATGTTCAAGACTTTGTTAACTCCGAGATCAACGTATGCCATGGGTTTCATCACCGTTGACTTTGAATTTTTTATTAATTTGTGGCTTTAATTGTTTTTTTTTTTGTTGTTGTTGTTACATAATTTAAAATTATAATACATTAAAAAGAATATAAGGGCCACCAGATGGAAAATTCCTAGTCATACCATTTTTTTCTCGTTAAAAAACCATCAAAAAAAGGTTCGATCTGGGGAAACTCGCAATCGCAAAGTTATAGTCAGAGTCTAACTCCATCCTTCTAAAACCCAAAGAACAAAGAGGCCCTAATAGGGGAGGCTAATTGCCGTTAGAATAAAATGATGTATTTTAATTAAACAAGTTAATATGGATTACAAATGGATACCCATTGAGTTGAATATTTATTTTTTTATTAAATAATACAAGTAACAAAATTAAATAAATATATTAATATACCAAAAAATATACATACACTAAAAAACACACATGCTAGTACACCAAAAGCGCACACACACTAATACACCCAACCAACCCGTGACCCAACCCATGACACAATTAATAAAATAAATATGTTTGTGCTTTTTGTGTATTAGTATGTATTCATATTAAGAGTTTTAATTATGTAATGGGTTTATGGATTTAACCTAACTCGTTATAATTCAACCCATTGTAACTCGTTTATTAAATTGATTGAAAACAGATTAAATTTATTTTACACCCAATCTATTTTAAATCAACTCAACTATCTCATTTGTCAACTTTACCTGTAACTATGAGGGAAAGGAAATAAGACCGGTAATTTTAGAGAGTTACGATAACCGTATTAGACATCATACCACAAAACTTAAAAACTAACATCTCATTAGGAAAAATTGTGACTAAACAAGTGAAACTAACAATTCACAAGCATTCAAAAAAACTAGAAATCAATTCTAAAAATTTGAAATCGATTGCACACTTTGGGATTGATTCTAATTGATTTTATTAACTTAACTTGGCGTGGCCCCAAATTTTAGATATTTCAACAGTACAACTGGTTTGATTAATGCACACGTGGAGTTGCTTAGTTCAATACAAAGGAATTGACATTCTCCAACTAATACCATAAAAAAACCATCAAAGAACTGTTAGTTCTTGGCCATCATAAAAATTAAAACAGAAAGGACAGCATGTGCACAAAACACTCGCCACCGAGATTTTAAAAATATCAGATATATGTGATCTTACTCTACATAAAAAGAGATTGTTTGAGCAACTCAAAAGAACTGAATAAAAACTAATAAATAGTTATGGATGAAAAGACAACAAGCCATACTCTATAGTCTATATTGTGATGGAACCCAAGAAACCAAGCTGCTGAACCAACACATCTATATCTTCTCTTTCAAAACCAAGTCAATCCAATTCATCTTCAATCTCCTCATTCAAAAAATCTTCCCAGAACCCCACATCAACAACTCTATGATCTCCAAGATGATGCTTTTCTTCTTTATCTACATATTCTTCCTCTAGTCCTTGAATGTCCATAGCAAGAGCCTTCAGCTCCAGATCGTCGATTTTAACATAAAATTCTCCCTCCCTACCATGGCCTAATTTGCTTACTGCAACATTACTAGGACCTTGATCGATAGACCGCCCCCTCTTCTTACCAATTACTGCCCCAATTTCTTTCCTTCTGTCCTTATGTTGTACTAATTTCTGTACAAAACTAGGATTCTGTATTGCTTTGGCCAAGAAACTCGTCATCTGTCGCTGTTTCATCTCTGTTCCTTCTAGTCTTTCTTCTATTGCTTTGAGGTAATCTTTAGTACTCTGTTGTTGCTGTCTAAGTTTCACCAGCTCCAACATTAAAACCTGTTTGTCACGCCTCAACCGATCAATTTCTGAATCCAATCCGAATCGACCCAATTCGACACAATGGTCTAGGCCCTGGTGGGAAGTCTGAGGATGAGAAGATGCATTTCTCCTCCTAATGTTCTTCAGCAGTTGCCTTTGCCCTCTTAAAAACCCTTCATTAGCAAACTCCCATCTATCTGGCTCCATCTTTCGAAAGCCCTGCACAATTCACATTCCTAGCTAGGACTTGATCAAAAATAGCAATGACCTCTTATGAAAAACCAGTTAATCTATAAAGCCTACAAGAACTTTACAAAGTATAAAAGACATATTGAAAGATTATATAGTGAGTGCATGTATTGTTTTATGATCTGTCCACTTTCCTTTTGAAGCCATTAAAACATACAACAGATCTGCAATGAGAAACATAATCAAGGATCAAAATTTCATTTTTTTCGGCCATTTTGATGGAAATTCAAATGAATCACTAGTTGAAATTTGAAATTCTTATCTTTCGGAATATTTTGGAATATGAAAATTTCTAAGAAAAAAACAAAATTCATTTTCATTCTATTTTCGAGCTGACCAAAATTATGCACCAAATGGGAATTTTGATCTCAGAACCTAATAATAAGCAAAGAAAAAAGGGTATCATTTTTTCTTACATAGGTGTTGAGCTGCCTCACAAAACTTGAGAAATTGTTGTGCTTGAAGTACCTCGGAAGAAGATTCATGGCAAAAGTCTGGGGATCCCAAACAACAAAACTGTTGTTTCCTGTACTCCAAGAAACAATACCATTTGTGTTTGGATCATCAACTAGATCATAAGTCTTGGTGAGGAAAGGTGGAGGACCAGTCTCATTAAGACCCTCCTTTGGTTGAGGGATAAACATGGAAGAAGACTCACCAGAATACGATGAACTCGGTCCTTGAAACTCATGATACTCAATCTTCCATGGGCCTAGGGGATTCATAATTGAATCAAAACAAATGAGAAAAACAGAAGTGTAGGCTTGATTGACCTTCTGTCCTTTTGGAAGAATGTGGTTTGATGGTTAGGTAGAATTAAGGCCTAGTGGTATGCAGGTATAGTATGAGCAATGTTGATAGATTTCTCTTAAAAGGGTATCAATTATAAGTAGTTTTTCCTAAAGTGAAGATTATCAAGATTCAAATGAAAATATGAACATGGCCAAAACACTATGGTTTTTGGGTGTTCCAATAGAATAAAATCATGGGCAGTAAATGGGTTATGGAGATAATCTGCAAGTAGTATTGCAAATCAAACTGACGGAGTGAACAAGAGAGAGAGAGAGAGAGAGAGAGGAGAAGAAAAGTTTGGAACAAGTTTGATAAGATAGAGAGAAGTATATATATATAGCTTTGGCAATATTTTTTGATGGAGGCCAAGCAACAGAAGGGAAATAATAGGTTAATTATAGACTGGGTGTCACCATTTCATTGGTTAATATGGACTGGGTGTCATTAGTTTATGAGAATGTTTAGTTTTATATTATGTGTATTTGCTGTGGGGGGACATGAATAGGTGGAAAGTTGTGGGTGAAAAGTGGACCAAAATGGTCTTCAGATATTTTTTAGTTCCCCTTTTCTTTCTCCTTTGGGAAAGTATTTTGACAATATTGTGCTTTTTTGTTCTTTATTCTGGCTCCTGTGCAATTTTTGTTTGGGTCAAGAATTATTAGAGGAAGGGTACGGCAAGTTTTGAACTCGTAATCTTAAAATTTAATGATAGGAATGGTGATCATTAGATCAATCATTAACTTCGTTTCTATGCGATTAGTGGGACTATGATATGAACTCAAATTTGAATTTATTATAAAAAAATATTCATGAATTAAAATTTTGATATGTCAATACCTAGTTGATTTCTGAATTAAAAAATACTAGGATTTTGTTATATCTGTAAAAATTATCAAGATCGTCGTAATTGACACTTTACCAATACGATATAAAATTAATCGAAAAATCGCTTTATTTTGAGTAGAATTATATTTACAATCTTGTAGGTGGGCTACCCTTGGTTGGTTGGGGATGAAAACTAGTGCTTATAACAAAAATATTTTGGCATAGCACAAAGTAACCAAAAATATCTTGAAAAAGAAATGCCATTATAATGTATTTGAAGCATTAATGATTATGTCACCCCACACAAGGGTTTCACCCAAAAGGGGTATAGATGGTGATTAGGACTCTTACACTAGTAGATATATAATTGGTGGAATAATTTTCTATAAAGTCGATAGACAATTAAATATTGAACACTATGACATGACCCCCTCTCTCCCTCATCTTGTCTGTTCCAATAGGAATACTCCACTTGGCGAGCTCCAAAAATAGGCCAATTGGCGTTATTCTCTAGTGCCACGCCTTCTTCAAACAAGAAAGTATGTATTAGAATGTAGATTCAAATCCTTTGGTCGGTGGGATTTACCTCTATTGACTACATTGAAAATTATCCCACCAATTGTATATCTACTAGTGTAAGAGTCCTAATCACCATCTGTACCCTTTTGGGCAAGTGTCCCCTGGACCATGAACAGCTCCGCACCTCGTGACCAAATATTTGAATCAAAATTAAAAATTTAAATAATTGATTGTTTGATTTTTGTCACATCCTTTAGACTTTAAAGTTGGTCCCGAATTTGTTTAGTTTACAATTTCTGTTTTGAAATTCACTTTGACAATGGTGTCAAAGGTATAATTTTTCTCATGTTGAAGAACTGAATTTGATCTCCACATGTTGTAAAACATAGTGTAAGAATCCTCCTTAAATAAGCAAAGAGAAAAGCACATTTATGTACTCGTTATATATATATCATAGTCGCATGAACCTCCAAAGTTGCTTCAAATAAAAAAATATTTGAAAGATTATTGCATTTATAGTTTTAAGTTGGAATCCCAACTCTTTTGATCTGTGCGGCTTGAGAGTAAGAGCAAATATGCAAAATTTATATCGTAATAAAAAGTTTAAAAAACACATGATTGAATTAAGAGAGCTCTAAGAATAAATAAAATGACTTACTATTTTTGACCATATGAGAAAAAAAATAAAAAATATTCACACGATAACCCAAAGTTTAGAGCAGACCCCAACACCACCCAAAATATCTAGGGAGTGGTTATTTGAGCATGTGCATATTCACTTAACTTTCCCATGTCAATATTCATAATAATCATGCCCTCCAAGACATGAATTTATCTATTCAAAGTCTTACTTTATAGCAAGAAATTGTTCAAGAGGACAACTATTATGAGTTGAAAAGTGCCACATTGAGCCAAACAAGGGATCAAAAGGAGGATTATTGTAATCTAAAAAGTTCCATATTTGAACAACCTCCATTTCAAATCTTATTACACGTGTTGGGGGCATTCTAGCATCCAAGCAAAAGGTGTACTCTTTCTAAGGATAAGATTTGAAACAATGGGAAAGGATAATAATTTAATAGAGCTTCAAGATGGATGTACAATCAATGATCCCCCCGGCAAAACCAAATCCAATGATAAATTCAAAAGCATGAGTTGAAAGTTTTTGACTTTGTCCATTTTAGTTTTTCAAGAACAAAATTGACCTTTTTTTTTTTTTTTTTTTAATTTTCCTAACTGGAACTGCCTTAATCACGCGTAATTTAAATTAGTAGCTGTAACATAAAAAAAGTTAAAAACATGAACAATTACACTTACATCACACATGTTTATGGTATCTTCGGTGAGATTCTAACTTACAACTTCGAGATAATAATCTACAATGACTTCCCATTCATTTACAACAACTAGTTTTTATCACGGACTAACCCAATTAGGGTAAATTGCCAATTGTTTCTTATCTCATTGAAAGATGACATAAGAATACTTTCCTTTTTATTGGAAAAAGATTCATGTGCCTCAGAATAGAGATAAATGGATGAAAATGAATTGACCTTACAAATGACAACACTCGTGTATTAATACAATCAACCATAGTTATTTATCGATCTACATATTACGTAGAAGGCATTCAAGCTCATCATCCAACGATGAGATTTGCATACACAAACTTATTCTTTCCTGTTTAAAACAGGTAATATCGGTTTTGTACTAGATGATAGCAACCACTATAGAGGGCCATACAAGCTACCAATCCATACAAGCCAATATATATTATTAGAGACACAACAGTTTTTTGAGCTTTTGGAAAGGCTACGGTTTAAGCTGAAGCATCAATGGCGTGATTAGTAGCTTCTTTCTGTCCAAAAGATTCAACATACTCTTTCCTGAAAATAAAGACCAGACCAAAATTTTAGTCATCAAAATGTTCCTGGATACTGCAACCAAAACAGAGAAAGAAGATGAAGAAAGGGGAGGGTGCAGGGAGAGAGAGAGGGATACAGGGAGAGAACATAATGAAAATCCAGCAGACACCTGGCGGGTAGATGATCATGTGGACGATTATATGGAGTCCAAATAGGATCACCAATAAACAGCCGCATTGCCTACAATAAGAATTTATTGCATAAGAAACAATTTGTTAAAGAAAAGGTAGACCACCCTAAGATTAGTCCCCATGGTCAAGGGATGTGTGCCCAAACAACATACAGAATACATATGTTCCCTTACTATGACCATCACCGGTGGGTCACATTTTCAATGAGCACATATAAGCAGCAGCATGTTGCATGATGAAAAGGGATTACAGGCATGGACTGGAAAGATATAAAACTCTAAAGATACATCACAGAAAAGGCAGTGGATAGGCATACGGTTGTATATGTACATACATATGGATATGCATGAGACTTTATAGTTAAATTTTCTAATTGTAAGGCTTTATATTCCTGATTTTTCTATGGTTGACAGGTGAAAATAATTGCCAGGTAAACGGCAGTGCATTATGTAACCTAAACACCATTTGCATTCAGCAACAAATGAAACAGGGGAACTAATATAATAAATGACACCTCCCTCATATGTCTTCCTTTTTTTTCACAACACAATCAGCCATCAGATGAGAAATTGAAAAAAATAAATCCGACCTTCTCGTGGCACAGGCAAATGCACAATTGTGTAGCAGTATACCTTAATGTAGTTGTCTGTATCGAGCGTAAAGCGGTGATAAATTCCAGCAGGTAGGACAATCATCCCCCCTTTCTTTACCCAGACACGGATCCAAGCTTCATCAAGATCCCGTACATCAAAATAGCCTTCACAACAAAGTGTATTTGTTAAGACAGCCAGGATCGGTGGGCAAAGTGGGAACTATACAATCTAAACATATATAAACCTACCACTTCCCGCGACACAGTAACGAATCTCTTCATCAGTGTGAAGATGTTCTTCGTAAAAGTTTTTGATCTTCTGTTCATAGTTGGGTAGCTTTTCTGGGCAAACCTCACAGAAGTCCTGTAGCAAAAGTTTGCATCCCATTATACTTGCAACTGACAGGCTGGCAGACTACTGCTCTAGAAAGCAGGCAAAAAGGTTGCCAAAACATAGCAATTTTCATTATTTTTCTATTTTGTTTGTTAGTCCTGATTTCCGACATACCATGTAGGAATATCCACGGGCCTCACGAATTTTCTTCAACTCCTCATCAGTTTCATAGTTATCAGCATCTAATCGCCAGCTGAGTACCCCAAGTGCTGCAAAGTTAACATAATAGCTCAAGACATAGGAAAAAATATCCACTGATCCAATGAATATAAAATGCTCCACCATATATTCGTACCAGCAAGTTTGTCCAGGGACACAAATTGCTTTGGATCCCGGTGATGGGGGAGCCTCTGATCTTCATCACTATCATCCATATACCATGCCTGTAAAACTTCCTCCCTGTCATCCTGTAGGAAATCAAGTTGTTGAGAAAGTTGCATTATTTCATAGTCCTCTTTCTTTTGTTTTGCTTCTATACTCAAATTTTTTGGGGAAAGCCAAAATTACCAATGCAAAAGAAACCCAAGCATTCAGATGTGACTAAATGCATGATCATAAACATCTGTCTGAAAATAAGGTACATGTACAACACATGAGGCTTTTGGGCTGTGGTCAACAATAACACATGCTTCAAGGTCTAACCATTGAAAACAAAAATTGTGCACCTCTTGTTAAGAAAACACATCGCTGTTGCAGATTTTCTTAGAAGAGGGCAAGATGCTGGCATTTGGCTTTGAACAGTTCCAAGTAAACTGCTAACTACGCCTGATCCCGGTAGGACACTAACAACATCATCATTGTTCAATCTCTCAGTTTTCCAGATTTTAAATCTACTGTTGTACTCATAGTTTTCACATCGTTAATGCTCGAGCAGTAGGGCATTCCTAGGATTTTTGTCCTCTACGGTTTTGCTTATTGAACTTTCAGTGAGTTTTTCAAACAAATACAAAGGCACACTAGGAATGGTTGATGTGGAATGCAATTTTCGCTAATTAATCTCACAGTCTCTTCATCCATAACCTTTTTTACAATGTAATTTCTAATTTCATAAAGAAAAACAAATCAAGCTTCGACTTTAAGTTAGAGATGAAATTTCCGTCACAAGGGTCAGCACCATCAACAAAGAGGCCCCCATTTTCTTCTATCTTCCTGTCAAAGTTGCATTCCTACATGTTCATCTTTCTATCTTGCCTTTCAAACATATATTTATATTGATTGAAAATGGAAAAGATAGCATTTTTATCGCAAACGCCCCCTAAATTCATTCCTAAACCTAGATTTCCTAACTAGTGAAACAAAAAACCACTAAGAGCTAAAGCATAGGACCAACAATATCCTTAATAAAACAAACCCACCTCTTTGATTTTTCGTTAGAGCGAAAAACCATACACAACTCATAAAAATACGAGCAATGCTATGTAACCCAAATTTGGGATCCCAAATCAATAAGGATCATTGAATCTGTGGTTCCCATTTAAAAAAAATGATTGGATCACTCATCCAATGATCACATTCATTTGAGATGCAAATTTGGGTTACAAATAGTATTTCCCTAAAAAATACACACCAGATATGCTTAGTAGCAAGATATCAAAGGAATTAAGAAAACAGATAAACCCTTCACATCGATTATATAAAATCAAAAGAAAGTAATCTGTCTATCGGTTTGATTTATTGTTAGGAGCAAAAAACATACAGAATTCATAAACAAACACACAAAACAGATATAGTTAT